CTCTCCTTGCAAGCCGTGTTCTCCTCTCCTTGCAAGCCGTGTTCTCCTCTCCTTGCAAGCCGTGTTCTCCTCTCCTTGCAAGCCGTGTTCTCCTCTCCTTGCAAGCCGTGTTCTCCTCTCCTTGCAAGCCGTGTTCTCCTCTCCTTGCAAGCCGTGTTCTCCTCTCTTTGCAAGCCGTGTTCTCCTCTCCTTGCAAGCCGTGTTCTCTTCTCCTTGCAAGCCGTGTTCTCCTCTCCTTGCAAGCCGTGTTCTCCTCTCTTTGCAAGCCGTGTTCTCCTCTCCTTGCAAGCCGTGTTCTCTTCTCCTTGCAAGCCGTGTTCTCCTCTCCTTGCAAGCCGTGTTCTCCTCTCCTTGCAAGCCGTGTTCTGCTCTCCTTACAAGCCGTGTTCTCCTCTCCTTGCAAGCCGTGTTCTCTTCTCCTTGCAAGCCGTGTTCTCCTCTCCTTGCAAGCCGTGTTCTCCTCTCCTTGCAAGCCGTGTTCTCCTCTCTTTGCAAGCCGTGTTCTCCTCTCCTTGCAAGCCGTGTTCTCTTCTCCTTGCAAGCCGTGTTCTCCTCTCCTTGCAAGCCGTGTTCTCCTCTCCTTGCAAGCCGTGTTCTCCTCTCCTTGCAAGCCGTGTTCTCCTCTCTTTGCAAGCCGTGTTCTCCTCTCCTTGCAAGCCGTGTTCTCTTCTCCTTGCAAGCCGTGTTCTCCTCTCCTTGCAAGCCGTGTTCTCCTCTCTTTGCAAGCCGTGTTCTCCTCTCCTTGCAAGCCGTGTTCTCTTCTCCTTGCAAGCCGTGTTCTCCTCTCCTTGCAAGCCGTGTTCTCCTCTCCTTGCAAGCCGTGTTCTGCTCTCCTTACAAGCCGTGTTCTCCTCTCCTTGCAAGCCGTGTTCTCTTCTCCTTGCAAGCCGTGTTCTCCTCTCCTTGCAAGCCGTGTTCTCCTCTCCTTGCAAGCCGTGTTCTCCTCTCTTTGCAAGCCGTGTTCTCCTCTCCTTGCAAGCCGTGTTCTCTTCTCCTTGCAAGCCGTGTTCTCCTCTCCTTGCAAGCCGTGTTCTCCTCTCCTTGCAAGCCGTGTTCTGCTCTCCTTACAAGCCGTCTCTTCGTCTTGTAAACTGTTTTCTCTCCTTGCAACCTGTATTCTCTTCTTGTAAGCAATCTTGCAAAGTGTGTCCCCCTGTTGGAACTCGTCCGGTACTCATCCAAGGGTGCCAACACTACAGCGAGTCTTGGTAATACTGTAACCATAAACAACACGACCCCCAGGCTTGCCAACATAGACCCATAACCAACACAAAGGCTTGGCACCACTGTATTATAACCAACACGTCCCCCCAGGTGTGCCAAAACTGTACAACAACCAACGTAGCCAAAGATTTGACAACACTGTACAACAATGATCTACGCAATGCTCCCAAAAGTTCCGTCATATGTCGACTCGCTTTGTAAATGAAACGACTGAAATATCCCGTCATAAAGACCGTCGCCTCCCAGAACTTTCACCTCTCTTCCCAAAGACAAAAATTGCAAACAAAAGCGGAAAATATGCGGTTTAGGCGGGATAAAAATGATGTGAAATTGGATTGTGTTGCTTTGTAGTGGAGGAGGCTGCATGGGGCCCCTCCCCCGCTCCACCGCTGTGTGACTTATCCTCTTCTTGTAAGAAATATCGGCATTTGTAGCGACACCCGCGATTTCCATCAAGACCCAAACACAACCCGGACGTTGTTTTATGGAGAAGTCTGCATGATGCTTACTTCAGTGTTCGGTAATGGCTTACTCGACGGTGGAGAGCGTGAATTGATTTGTTACGGTATTGCATTTCCTGAGAAAACGCAAGAGAGAGGGAGGGAAGGAGAAAGGGGGGTAGAGACCGATGGAAAGGGAGAACAGGGACTAGGGGGAGGGAGGAAGAAGTGACAGAGGGAGAGTAGGAGAGAGAAATAAAGGCACAAATGGAGGGAAAGGGGCCGAGGTCAGCCACTAACGAGTACCCCATCTTGTTGACATATTGTTACCAGTCTTTCTTGTAGACGCGTCTTAGTGTACATGACAACATGGGTGAGATCAATGCTTCTGGTACGAATCTTCTCTATACAATTGACTTCACTTGAGAAAGAAGTTGAAAAACTAATTCTCCAAAGTTCATTTTACAATTGTATTATGGCCTGACGCTAAGAGATGCGTTTCATTAACCCTTGTCAACATTATCAAAGGCAGAGTTCGAGTCAATACAAGTTTTTCGTTTTTGATTTAGCTATTCAGAACGAAATTTAGATTTAGATTTAGGAAAGACTTGGGTAAATACTGGTTCAGTAATAGGGTTGTTGATTTGTGGAACCAATTACCGCGTAACGTGGTGGAGGTGGGGTCCCTCGATTGTTTCAAGCGCGGGTTGGACATGTATATGAGTGGGATTGGGTGGTTATAAATAGGAGCTGCCTCGTATGGGCCAATAGGCCTTCTGCAGTTGCCTTTGTTCTTATGTTCTTATGAAATGTCCATGTAGCACGGGCTATGGTGAGCCCATAAGTGTGAATACAAGTTTTTGAGCAACCGGATATATAGTTGAGGATGAGGGTGAAGGTATAGCACCTAACATAGAAGCCAATGGCACCTTACCAATGCCTTAGTCACAATAACATGGCTAAACATTAAGACACCCAACCCGTACATTTGAAAAGAAAAAGTGACGACGTTTCAGTCCGTTCTGGACCATTATCAGGTGGTCCAAGACGGACCGAAACGTCGTCGTCTCCTTTATTTTCATATGTGTGGGTTCGGTGTCCATGTTAATAAGTCAGTAATTGACTTATAAACAAATGGTTTGTTTTCAACTATTAAATAATATTATTACATGTGGTAATTTTATGCATAGCTAGGCCTAGATTAGATTAGGCTGGTGTTTGGAGCGTTCACAGGCCAACCTGTCCTCACATTAGGCTGATTAAAGCAGCGGTCGTCCTCCCCAGACACAATCATCCATTTTAACATACTGTGTATTAAAAACTGGTTTCTTCTCATATATAAATTAATATTATTATACATAAAAATTATATGTATAGTTATGCGCATGTTACGTTAGGTGTTTACGAAACCCGTCCTTCAACCCGTCCTCGACTCAAGTCCATTACATTCAGCGGTCGACCCCACAGACGCATTTATAAATTTTAATATGCTGTTCATTCAAAACGGGAATTTTCTCAAGTATAAATTAATATTATAAGATATTAGCATATTGTGTATATATAGGCATAGGTTAGGTTAGGTCAGGTGTTTAGGTTCTGTTGGCGATTATTTGTATTTGTAGTACGTGGGTGAAGCATTTACCGCGTTGTGATTCGAACAAAATTCGTCGGTGAAGCACTTGTTCCGGATATGTTCGAACGTCAGCAGTTGTGAGTCATGTGTAAACCGTTTTTCATTCATAAACAGGGGGTTTGGCGGGTGCATGGAATCACTTTTGGATCTTTGTTTGGAGGACGGGCTGCGTCCTTAGACCAAGTCCATTCTATCAAGCGGTCGACCCCAAAGACGCATTAATAAATATTCACTTGCTGTTCATTCAAAACGGGGAATTTTCTCAAATATAAATTATTATAATATATTAGCATATTGTGCATATATAGGTATTGGGTAGGTTAGGTGTTTAGGTTCTGTTAGCGATTATTTGTATTTGTAGTACGTGGGTGAAGCATTTACAGCGTTGTGGTTCGAACAAAATTCGTCAGTGAAGCACTTGTTCCGGAAGTGTTCGAACGTCATCAGTTGTGAGTCGTGTGTAACAGCCCGTCCTCCAAAGAAAGACCCAAAAGTGATTCCATTCACCCGCCAAACCCCCTGTTTATGAATGAAAAGCGATTTACACATGACTCACAACTGCTGACGTTCGAACATATCCGGAACAAGTGCTTCACTGACGAATTTTGTTCGAATCGCAACGCTATAAATGCTTCACCCACGTACTACAAATACAAATAATCGCCAACAGAACCTAAACACCTAACCTAACCTATCCTATGCCTATATATACACAATATGCCAATATATTATAATATTAATTTATACTTGAGAAAATTCCCGTTTTGAATGAACAGCATGTTAAAATTTATGAATGCGTCTGTGGGGTCGACCGCTGGATGTAGTGGACTTGAGTCGAGGACGGGTTGTGTGTAAACCGTTTTTCATTCATAAACAGGGGGTTTGGCGGGTGCATGGAATCACTTTTGGGTCTTTCTTTGGAGGACGGGCTGTATACAGCATTGTAGTTCAAACAAAATTCGTTAGCGAAGCATTTGTTCCGGAAGTGTTCGGACGTCATCAGTTGTGAGTCGTGTGTAAACCGTTTTTCATCCATAAACAGGAGGTTAGGCGGTTTGATTAACGAGCTTTGATCTTTTTATGCGAGGATGGGCTATCACAGCACAGGCTGGAGGTGAATGAAGCACGTCTCGAGTCAAACCTTCGAGCACACTAATGTGGAAAATAATCCAAACATTGACTTCTGTAAAGTTTAATAAGTCAATATTTGGCAGATCCGTTATGAACCGAGGGCCGTTTGTTGTGATATTGGTAAGAAAGCAAGCACGATTTGCTTGGCCTAGAAACTGATATTTGACTGCTTCGGTGCGCATTCATGACGGCTTCAGTGTCGTCTCTGCAGCCCGTCTTCTAATCAAAGACCCAAAAGTAATTCCATCCACCCGCCAAACTCCTGTTTATGAATGAAAAACTGTTTACACACGACTCACAACTGATTTCGTTCGAACACTTCCGGAACAAGTGCTTCACTGACGAATTTTGTTTGAACCACAAAGCTGTAAATGCTTCACCCACGTACTACAAATGCAAATAATCGCCAACCGAACCTAAACACCTAACCTAACCTAACCTATGCCTATATATGCACAATATGCTAATATATTATAATACTAATTTATATTTCAGAAAATTCTTGTTTTGAATGAACAGCAAGTTAAAATTTATGAATGCGTCTGTGGGGGCGACCGCTGGATGTAATGGACTTGAGTCGAGGACGGGTTGGAGAGAGGGCGTAGTTGGCGCGAGCACTTACCAGCCGGAGCGCTGGTGCCCTAGGTCGTTGTGTGCAAGGTGATGCTTCCCGAGGCTTGCTGTGTGTGTAAAGTGGTCCCTCAGGCCACTGTGTACGAAGTATTGGTGCCGCAGCTCGTAGTCAAGGCCCTTACTGGTAAACAATGGCTGCTGTGGCCACCCCGCAAGCTGCTCAACGATGGTAAGTAACTAGTCTATTGCGTCATCCATAGTGATAGCTCAGACGTTTTCCTTGTCACTGATTTATGCAACAATATAGATTTATCCAGTAGGTCTGCCATTGTGTAATTATACTGGAGAAATATAGCCCGTGTTCAGAGGCAGGTGGAGCGACTGTTGTAGGTGTTCACTAGGCGTTTATGGTAAGGGTAATTCCCCCTGTGTGACGCTCCCTGAAACGTCTTGTTGTTGAGCCCGTCGCGTTCTGCGGTCGGAACCTTCCACCAGGTTGGCCAGTCAGAACGGATACGACGCGTGACGTAGCCGTACCATGGACGCGTGACGTAGTACCATGGACGCGTCATGGTTGGGGAAACATGACCATGCACGGTGCCAGCTCCAGTAAGACCCTTGCACATGGGGGGATATCTGGTTATCATTAGACGAGATACAGCTGTGGCAGGACTAGAGCTGGAGGAAACAACGACTGGAAGAGATAAAGTGAGGACATTGAGGTCCTGTACCATCCCCTGCGCAAGGTACGCTTGTTTGACCAGAAGATCCTCCGTACCTAACTAGTGTCCTAATAAAGCGTAATAGTTAACACCGTATTATTGATAGTCATAAACCTACGAGTCAAGGGGTTACACTACCAGCTGACGATACACATTAGGCAGAATGTCTTCCTCACTGATGGAGGATTTACTGCACAGTTCACCTCTAGACTTTGAAAATATTGAGCAAGTTGGAGGATATTAATCTAGACAACTTTTTTTTTAAAGATTTAATATAACACGTAAAAGGGGCAAACGGCTTCAAGCTCAACACGCCACAATGCAGAACGGGAGAAGCTTTTACGCTCGTAGGGCTATAAACCCCCATGGAACCGCCTACCTGCTGAAACCGTAAACGCCAAGACACCACTTAATTTCAAAATTCAGTTTGTAAAAATCCTCGGGAACAATGGGGACCTTTTGACAAGTTTCCGCCCTCTTGTCCCCGACGAGGCCACAAGACAGATGGTGGCCCCTCGCAGGGCTCTGGATCACCTGTCGTCTGCCCCCAGTGAGCTCTGGATCACCTGTCGTCTGCCCCCAGTGAGCTCTGGATCACCTGTCGTCTGCCCCCAGTGAGCTCTGGATCACCTGTCGTCTGCCCCCAGTGAGCTCTGGATCACCTGTCGTCTGCCCCCAGTGAGCTCTGGATCACCTGTCGTCTGCCCCCAGTGAGCTCTGGATCACCTGTCGTCTGCCCCCAGTGAGCTCTGGATCACCTGTCGTCTGCCCCCAGTGAGCTCTGGATCACCTGTCGTCTGCCCCCAGTGAGCTCTGGATCACCTGTCGTCTGCCCCCCGTGCAGGAGGGACGGTACCACACCTGCTGACGGAGTAACTAAGGGTTGGAATGTTGCTGATAAATAAATTGACAATCTGAGTGAAAACGTTGTTATAATCTCACGTGTGACTGACGGTCTGTTGCCTCGTCACAAAACGGGGTGTCGACTGGTTGGGGGGGGGGCGACGCGCGGTGTCGACTGCCTAGAGATTCGCGCGGTTAGACAGCCCTTCCTACTAGGAACGTCTGTGGGAGTGGTGCAATAGATTGTGACCATACATCTGTACCTGTATAGTGACGGTGTAATTTGTCTTAATGTTTGTCCCGAGTACTTACACTAGGACTATATGTGTGCCCAATTGCTGCTGTTGTGATGGGAAAAGCAATATTGCGAATTGTTAAAACCAAAGTTTTAAAATTAGGTTTAGTCGACGTGAAGTCGCGGGTTTCTGGAGAGATGTAAGAATACTCGGTATATAGGTCCTGTTTGTCCCTCTCTCCGATCTATTTACCCTTTTGTTGACATCTCTATTCAGTAAGATTATCACAAAAATCAAGGAGATTATCCCAAAATAATTACTTGTGGGTCTGTATTAAGTTGTTAATACCACAATACTTTTTTTTTAAGAGATCAATCTCATTACGTAATTGCGTTCACTCTAGTCTAATAATACATATAATTTTCGACACAGATATATGCAGTTGCAACGAGTCCTTATTTCCTGATTGACAGCGAGGCAGACCTAAAAATCCGCAATCAGAAAGCATAGCTCGTTGTCTAGTGGTTGAATCCTTTTGGGCTGAACTAACCACACACACATACTAGCGTAAGGCTGCGTTCTCTAAGGAACTTGTCCTCCTGCAACCTGTCCTCTAAAGAACGTCGCTTTTCGCTCGTATGTGTTACATAAGGGCAAAAAATTGTCGTACTAGAAAATGGAAGCGGCTGGCGAAAGTGACTTAACTGTCCCGTTTTCTGTTTTGGGTCCTCCGGTAGGTTAGGAGAGACCAATTTAAATTGATAGTTTTCTTGACGTTGGGGAAACTTGGGGAGACGGGGCTAGTCTAGGATTGTGCCACTTGCTCTTGGTTAACTCCCTTTGAGACTTTTAACACTTTGTAAGATTTCTAAGAAAGGCAGTGGGTTAAAATAAAAGGGGGGGGGAATAACGGGCTTGCCCTCTTTATTCTTCACTTGGACAGTGCAGAAAACCACGGCTAGCGATTTCCATGTATATATTAATATAATTGACAGTGAAGTTGCGACTAAATTGAAATAAGTTTATTGAGGTAAAATACACACAAAGGGATGAGGTAGCTCAAGCTATTCTCACCCCGTTCAGTACACCGTGTTAATATATACATATAAACACATCACAAACAATAAACATATTACCAAACATTGAGAGATAAACATCTACATTTCCTATTGCGACTAATGGGTGTAACGGTTGACAATCTTTGCAGCGATAATGGTAACGTGGGAGTTCCCGGGACGAGAGAGGTCTCCAGGAACACCGACCGTCGCTACAGTGAGGTACGGTGTAGGGGGGGCAACTTGCCCTAGAGGTGAGTGCACTCTGAATTACATCATGAAGCCTAGCTAGTATCTTGCATCTGAAGTTTGTGAGGTTCTACTACTCCTCGCGGGGTTGCTGATTCATGGATCAAATTCCCGAAAACATCTCTAAAGTTTCCGGGAATTTTTTAAATTTTCCGCGATCAGAAAATTATCAAGCGTGGGTTAGACATATGTATAAGAGTGAGTTTGGATGGATATAAATAGCAGCTGCCTCGTATGGGCCACAACGTACCTGCAGTAGCCTCGTATGGGCCACAACGTACCTGCAGTAGCCTCGTATGAGCCCAGTAGTCCTGCAGTTTCTATTATTTTACTTATGGTTTTCTTATGTTTTTTTTTATTTTGAACGTCAATAAAGTCTTGCCCCCCATGAAGACATTGGTGAGAGTGAGTGAAGAGGAAGGAACACTTGCAGGTGGTGAAGGAGTACATGAAGAAGCAGAAGTTGGTGGGGTCGGTGAGCAGCGAGAGTGTGGAGCCCGCGGACGTGCTGACCCACCTTGCTGACCGGGCCGGACCCCACGACGACACCTATGTCAGGTTGGTGGCCAGAAGTGCTGGCTCGCGTTCAGTGATGAGTGGTTGGCATATTTGTGGTGGTGGGAGGGGGGGGCTAGGATCCCAGCTGGTAGCCTGGCTGGGAGGGTGTGGGGGGGATTAGGATCCCAGCTGGTAGCCTAGCTGGGAAGGTGGAGGGGGGCTAGAATCCCAGCTGGTAGCCTGGCTGGGAGGGTGTGGGGGGGATTAGGATCCCAGCTGGTAGCCTAGCTGGGAAGGTGGAGGGGGGGGCTAGAATCCAAGCTGGTAGCCTGGCTGGGAGGGTGTGGGGGGATTAGGATCCCAGCTGGTAGCCTAGCTGGGAAGGTGGAGGGGGGCTAGAATCCCAGCTGGTAGCCTGGCTGGGAGGGTGGGGGGGGGCTAGGATCCCAGCTGGTAGCCTGGCTGGGAGGGTGGGCGGGGCTAGGATCCCAGCTGGTAGCCTGGCTGGGATCGAGGGAGCAAGACTAGTATCCAGTGAGGTTACGTGAATGTTGTGTATATACTGCACCAATTATCCTTTTTTTCTGCTGCTAGAATTATCTGTGTAAATGTAATGTAAATCGACATAGCAGAATATTAGTACTCGCTAATGTATTTACTGTACCCCAGCTGGGACCACCCAGACACCCCGAGGGCGGGGAGGTCCTCGACTGGACCGGATGTCCAAAGTCCAAAGATGTACCCGCAGCTGACGGCGGGTTCCGGGGAAGGTCGGGTAGAGCCAGTTCAGTGCGAGAGCGCCAAGCAGTGTCCCGGGGGCGTCATTAGCGAAGGATCTGTGTCGTCGAGTCTCCAGCCCAAAAGTGGAACCCGATCGTATCGTTCCTCGGCAGACACGGAGGTGTTCTTCTCCCCGTTCTCGGCGGCTTTTCTTTCTGCCAAGCACACGAATCCATTCAGACCCTCGCAAAGTACCTCGTCAGAAATGGTAATGAGGACTTTCAAGACACCGCCCAAATGCCCATCACAATCCTCGTCTCGTGATGGCAGCGAAGCCAAGAGTTTCAAGAGTGGTGTAGGCAGTGACAGCAGCTGCACCAAGGACTCGAACCGCGTCTCCCAGTCCTCGGAAACATCGAAGATGTTCTTCGGGACTACTCCCAACTTCTTCCGCTGCAAGCCCAAGGTTCGAATACCACTCAAGTGAAAAAACTTTTTAGCTATTAGGTTTTTTGGGAGGTTAGCATCACGAGAGAGAAACTTTTCAAAGCTTATTAAATAATGTATGTAATAACGGAAGGAGGCTATGACACTGGCAGATCCAGTTTTTGCCCCCGCCATAACGAGTCCCTCTATGGAAGTTTGTAAGGAATAGAATGCCAAGCTATATATCAAAGACTTTAAAGATTCAAGTTTTCCTCTGCATGTCTTCTCGCCTTGGATGGAGAGAGCTGGTGAATATTTTCTAACATGCTACTAATCAGGATATTTACTAACTGCCGCCTCTCAGGACTGCTTGTCGGTGACTGGAGGAGCCAAGAGCCCGGGCAAGGCTCCAGCCATCAAGATCACCTCTGTGGGCGGCTCCCCGAGAGACTTCTTAGGTGAGTACCCCAGCATCACTGTCTTGCCATCTTAACTGTATAGGTAAGAGGTTAGTGGTATGCCAAGAACAGGTTGCATGGTTAGGGGGGACAATCGGAAAGCTGATATGGGATGGTTATGGGGCGCTAGGATAGCGGGTTAGGTGAGTCTTATAACAATGTTTCCATGGTGGGTGAACATGACGGGAGTGTTGCTTGCAGGAGTGACGGAAGGGTCGAGTGGGTCGCCAGGCAGGGATCTGTGCTCCGGAGGACCTCCCTCCTCTAAGGGCTCCGACCTCGGGTGAGTGCCAACATAGACCTGGGAGGACACGTGATGGGTGTGGTAAGGCCTACACGTGGTGCCAAGCCTCTATGTACCGTGATTATTTGTACAGTAAGGTGTTTATTAAAGGCGCTAGGCTGTTTTGTCCAACATGTGGCTTGCTGAGCTGGAAACTGTTGCTTCTTGCTCGTGTTACATCTGACCACCTGCAAAAGTTGTGTGGATCGTCTGACAGCTGAGTGGACAGCGCTTCGGATTCGTAGTCCTGAGGTTCCGGGTTAGATCCCCGGTGGAGACAAATGGGCAAAAACTTTTTTTCACCCTAATGCCCCTGTTGCCTATCAGTAAATAGGTACCTGGGAGTTAGACAGCTGCTACGGGATGCTTCCTGGGGGTGTGTAACAAAAAGGAGGCCTGGTTGAGGACCGGGCCGTGAGGACGCTAAGCCCCGAAATCATCTCGAGATAACCTCAAGATCAACATACTCACCCAAATTGTTCTGTATTTTTAAGTTTCAATGAGATCCGCCCTGTCGTGCCTGGCTTGCATTGATAGCCCTGAGGTGGCGTCGTTCTGGGATGATTTTTTATGACGGTGAAGAATGCTTGTGAAAAGATAATTGAATTTTGAGATAGCTCGAAAACAAATGTACAAGAAATTTGGATATATTTCATTCAAAATTATCTACCGGAAAATTTTAGCCAAATAATGCCAGTTTGGTAATTATTGGTAGTAAATGTGGGTTGTTACGGTGTTTCCACCTCCGCCCATTGACTGGGTGAAGAGCGGTTGGGCAGTGTGTAAGATAATAATAATAAAATTATGGAACTTCCTCACAGCATTCGTAAGTTACTTGGCTTAGACATTGTACTTGTGGTTGTTCTCGAACCAATTGTTTATATAATAAACTTGCTTTCCGACCGTCCCTCGCGGTCACCTGTCCCTCAATAGAATTCTTGGTGCCTCGGATACTTTTGATATCGTTCGCCTTGTGCGTTTTTGTTCTCGTATTGGCATTCTTGGTGATATTTAGCGCCCTCTGATTATTCCGCACATTTGATGGTGCTACATAGCCTTCCCGGTTTGGTGCCTTCTTTTGATACTTACTTACTTATATAATAAACTGTGTAAGTAGCTTATCAAGACTGTATAATTTGCGTACCTAAATAAATTTTAGGGGTTCGATCCCTGAATCCATTGTGCCTCTGTAACCGTTTACCCTACCGCCCACAGGATGGGTATGGGGTGCATAATGAATGAACTAAACTAGATATATATATATATACACGTTTATCCTTTTTCTCAGGAGGAGCGCGACACCTCCGTCCCCAAGCTTGAGCCGCAGCAATCAAACTTCCCTGCGTGCTTCAGAGAAGGTCACTCCGGTCGACACCGTACCGGCGGCTGTACAAGATCCCTTCCTCACGCACACAATACCCACTGACGGAGGCGAGCCCGTCGGACACGAGCTTCTGGACTCCCCATCCTGCAGGAACTTGACCATCAATAAGAGTGCTCTCTTAGATACCAAGCGGTGAGTGTTTGCAGGTCCTGCTTGGCCAGTAGACAAAGGGGAGGAAACTGGGTGGAAACGGGCGGCTTTTAGAGGGGGGGAAAGTTTGTAGGGAGGAGAGTAGTCGGTGTGTGGGTGGGGGAGAGGGATGATTAGGACTCCAATCTCGGATTGGATGGGAGACACTTTCATCATTAGTGACACTTCCCCTCGTGTGGTCTTTCCAGGTACTCGGGAGACAGTAGCGTGTACGGCATGCCCCATGCTGTCCGCCCTCTCAATCCTGTCGCTCTTAACTTTGAAAACATGTCACGGCGAAGCTCGGAGGACAGGTTAGTAAAGATCTTAAAAATTAAGGTTAATCTTTAAAAAGATTAAAAGATCTTAAATTATTTCAGAGTAAACAGTGTTTAACTTAAGGTACAGTTGACTAGTTGCTGACGAGGAAGGGGCCTCGACTCTCCTGACAGCCTTATATTGGCTTTCTTTCATCTACGTCTCGATTGCGCCTTCGTAAGCGTCCAGAATGGGCCGCAACATCGTCACTTTTCTTTTTTTCATGTGTGTGGTTAGGCTTATTGGCTTCGAGCAACAGTATAGTGAGATTCTTTGCCTTTGACTCTTCTCTTGACCGATGCATTCAAACTCGTAACCTTGCGGCTGTCTAAATGTAATACTTCAGTTGTCGTGCATGGTAACCCTTCTTGTGGAAGCTTATTCGATCAATGACGGTTGAAGCCTTACTCTAAAGACCCCGGGAGGTATTTAAGGTAAGTAAACTGTTGGAACTAAAAAGGTAAGTGTTTAAAAAGGTAAAAGGTAAAACTGTTTACTAAAAAGGTAAGTAAAGTAAAGGCCTGTTGACTGGGTGTACTTAGTCAGCTACAGTATCTGTATGAGAAACATTACGCTGAAAGTCTTATTCTAAAGCAAATCATTTAAGAGTCAACTTTGATTGGCGAGCTCGTGGCGTGGCGGGAGCGTTGGAGACTACCAGGACGCAGTGGGCACCCTCAGCTACCCCCCGGAGGAGGCCAGCGTCACCCAGTACGCCCTCGCCACACCATTCTCCTACTCAGGTACAGTACAACCTCTCGCCACCTCCTACTGAGCGCGGTACGTGTCCTAGCCTAGTGCTCCTTCCCAAGGGTTCTTCTGATTCCTTCCTCTCTCTCTCTCTCTCTTCACATCTGCTCCACGCTCTCTTCTCCCCTTTCCTGGACCCCCCCCCCCCCTTTCTTTTCCCATTTCCACAGTTTCTGGACATCCGCTCTTCCTAATTACTAGATTTCCTCTTCAATAATTAGTGACGAAGCTTCACAATACGACCATGACACTGGCTGTGTACTTTCGTAAAGTTCTCTCATAATGGCAACATTTTCCCTCCAAGTAAATTAATATAACTTCATTGTATTTAAATGGCCTCCCAACATTCATTGTTCCCCGAGGAACTTCTCACTACTTCAGCCACTGCTCCCACTTCAGCTCCAGCTCTAGCTTCTGGCATCACTGTCTCCAACTGCACTTGCTGATCTCGTGTCTGTTGACGGGGGGACGCCCAGCCTCGGCAACCTATTCCACCACCTCAACATGAAGGCTCTCCTGACCCAAGGCCAGCACCTCCAGGAGAACCAGTACAGGCTACGGCTCCTTCGTCACCGTCAGGAGAAGCTTCAGCAGACCTATGCTTATCATCTGATGATGATTCTGCTGCCTCTGACGATGTTGTAGCTCACTCACCCTTCAAGAATGAAGAAGATAGAAGACCTGGATCTAATACGTGATAACACCGCTTATGGATCTCCTGAATATAGAAAAATTACCAGCCGAATCTCCAACCTGAAATATGAAGAATACCAAGCTGGAAATACGGGAAATGCACATTTGGCCAAAGCTCTTGCACTTGACTTTCTAAATGAATGTGACGAAGTCACTCTCCTACCTAAAGCTCTTCCCTTCAGACTGCCAGGAAGTCAAAACTCATCACGTGCAGTTATGAAAGAAGAATAAAAATGAAGACGGAAGGAGGAAGAGTCAAGACGGAAGACACTGTCTCCTCTTAAAATGAAGCGGCACTGTCACAGCTGCGCCCTTCCTGACCCGACTCAAAGCCTAGCCAGGTGTGGGGTTGTTCCAGCAGATATTCCAGACATGCAGCTGGATTCAGCCCTGGTTTTTTCTTTACAACTTCAGCACTTCCTCTGACTTCTCTTCAGCTGTCCCCACTTAAAGACTCGCTCAATGGGTATCTTATCCTGTACATTATTGATTTATTTGGTACATTTTAGGTTAAATAAATTTATTTAAGCCGTCATTGGTTTAGTTTAATAGTTATAAATAATTCACTAATAAAGTAGATTGGATAAAGTGTAGTACTTGGCTCGTACTTATGACTGGGTAATAATTATAATAAAGAACTTAATTGTATATCAAAAAATGTATATTGGGTTGAGAAAGTGCATACATTTGGGTTGGAGTGTGATACACTTGCAACACGGTCTTCTTGTAATTCAGGTACCTAAAATTCAAAATAAAATGTACTTAAAATACATGTACATAAATTTAGTTACTGCGGCTCAATGTTTTTTCCTAAAGTCTTACCTAATCATTCTACCGTTTTCTGTGGTTTATTTTGACGCATAATAATCAACTTAATCTTGAGAACTGCTCTTGTCTCTTCATCCCAGCACCTGCCATTGTCACTGAGTGCACGTCACACTGAGTGCACGTCACACTGAGTGCACGTCACACTGAGTGCATGACGGCCAGTTACAGTCCCGCTCCTGTTTTTTTTTCTACCACAGACGTGGCCAGACATTTACAATGCTAACCAGCATATATACATTTTCTTCCGTCCTCCATGGACAGGGTTAGAGATGTGTTAAACATATAGTTCAAGGGTTTATTGAACAATCAGCCACAGAAGGTGATTCGGTGCTTTCAAAATTCTAAGCTAACCTACATACGTAAATACATAACCGCTCCTGTGCCAGGTAAGTCCACTACCTGGGGGGGGGGGTCTGACGGCTGAGTGGACAGCGCTCGGTGTTCGTAGTACTAAGCGTCCGGGTTCGATCCCCGGCGGAGGCGGAAGCAAATGGGGGAAAGAGTTTCTTTCACTCTGATGCACCTGTTCACCTAGCGTTGCCCGAAATGCGTTGCGTGCTAGGGGTTGTACAGTAATGTAAGAACTCTTGTCTTTCTCTAATTTTGTATTTATATATACAAGAGGATATAAGATTACTGTGAGACGTTATAACGTAAAGAGCAGCTATACTCGCCTAGTTGTGCTTGCGGGGGGTTGAGCTTTGGCTCCTTGGTCCCGCCTCTCGACCGTGCTATCCTTTAGTTGTCACAATATCAGCGCTTGTTTAGCCACTGGCAAGAAATTAACTTCATTGGTCATTCCCTTGGCCCCGACCACTTGCGCTGGATGGTAGAGCGACGGTCACGCTTCGTGCAGGTCGGCGTTCAATCCCCGATCGTCAAAGTGGTTGGGCACCATTCCTTCCCCCCCCCCCCCGGCCCGTCCCATTCCTAATAGTTATCCTGACCCCTTCCAAGTGCTATATAGTCGCGCAACCCGTTCTCGCACTTGCTTAAAGTCAATATTGGCTTATTTAGTAAGTGCATATGTGACATACTAATGGATTGTAAATATTTTAGTTTACCTTGAAAGGCTTCATAGAAAACACCGACCTCGCCTAACCACCTTAGTATGTTAAGATAAGCATTTTATTGCTTCTTAATTACAATTATTACTTAACCTAGTCGCACTGGCTTAGCGCTTTCTCTTAACTCCTTCCCTTCCTGCAGGACAAAGTATGTCGCTGGCAGTGTCACCATGGAGGAACAAAAGCAAGACCAAGGGGGTAAACTCTCACAAAGTTTACAAGAGGAGCGAGGTCAGACGGAAGCGCTTAGGCTGGTGCTTGGTGATAACTGGCTTACTACTCCTGGTTGCATCGGCCATCACCATTATTGTGGTGGAGGGTAAGTAACCGCAGTGGTGGAGAGTAACCAACACAGTAGTTGGAGGGGTAGTGAACCCGTTCTCCTGATAGAACGTCTCATTTTGACGTATACTGTACCCCAAGTGCAAAAATCGTCGTACTAGACAATGGCAGCGGCTGGCGAAAGTGACGTACTGTCCCGTTTTCTGTTTTGGGTCCTCTGGTAGATTAGGATAAGGGCAATTTAATACAACAGTTTCTTGACATTGGGGAAACCTTAAGAGGACGGACTGCTGGAGGAGACCAACTAACGCGGTAGCGTAGGGTAAAGTATCCGCAGTGGACTAGAGAAACCAACCCACAGGTCTTGGTTTAAGAAGAAATGGTTCCACACCTTATCAGTCCTGACAGGGCTACTTCCCTGCTGGCTTCGTGGTTACATCTTCTTGGTAAGAGTAAAAACGGTTCTATTTTTTATGATAAATGTGTATTAAATTTATTTTTTCCTGACAGCATATTAGTTTATTATCTTTTGTGATTATTTTGTTTAGCCTATAGCCTAAAGAAAAGCATAGACTTTGTGCCTTTTAGTAATTACTTACTTGAGATTAGCATAAACTAAATCGCTACCGTGTGGGGCACCTCTTAACACATTCATAACGATAAAAGCTCAGTAACTACGCAGGTTAAAATGTTTTACACAATTGATATATAACGTGTGTGTGGGGGGGGGGGGGGATCACACACAAACCCTTGGTTTGGGGGGGTTATAAATAGGAGCTACCTCGTATGGGTCAATAGGCCTTCTGCAGTTACCTTTGTTCTTATGTTCTTGTCCACAGTGCCAGCCCACAGCCAAGGTCTACGCATGAAGCCTCTCAACAAAACGCTGGAGAGTTATATGGACAAACTCGGAGTCTCCGGTCAGTACCTCCTGCTCTTACAGGTTCTTCCTAAAGGCCTCCTTCCTTTTTTTATAATTGTAGGATATTTGGTTCTTGATTTATTTTGAATAAATTGTAATTTGAGAAACTCTACTGCATAAATGGTTCTTTTTTTAGAGGCCTTATAATTGTATAACGAATTTGCATATATTGTTTGACTGGGAATATCAAAGTTGTTTATTTCTAGCATTAATGTTCATAAATTGTTGCATGCATCCAGGATAAGTTTCAAGTCTGAGTTAGCATTGAAGAATAAAGCTTTGCAAGAGTATATATAACTCTTGAATGTATAGAGCCAGTGTGCGCGTCGCATGTTTATAGGGACTTGAACAGAGCAGCTCTCTGAAGGCAGAATTTTAGTTTTGATAGCTGGGTGATGATGCGCTTGAGGTAGTTTGTAGTGGTTGAACTTTGTGTACAGATTCCATGTTAGAGATTGAACATGGAATCGTAGTACAATGATAAAAGAGAACTGTGGGGGCATATTTATTTATTTTAAAGTACGCCAACTGATTAAACATTTATAAAGTTGCTTGTCAGTGTACTCTCTTAGTAACCTTCCAAGCTTCACTCTCAATGTTTATAATGCTTATTTGAAGGTGAATTTGGTCAGATATTTTTCCAGTTCAATATAACAAGTCCTTTTCTGTGTTCAGTCCCCGCCATGGCAGCTACCTCGCTGCAGTGGTGGTCCTTGAGTGCTGTGTTAGAGCCGGCAGACTTTGTCGCAGAGTTCCTTCAGGCCTCTGCTGGGGTAGGAGACCACAGCTGTCTGCGGTTCTGCCGCTCGTGCGGGCTGTGTACAGACAAATTATATTGGTTTCCCTTCATCTCAAGGTTCAGCCTATTCGGTGACTGGAGCTTGTAACTTATATTTACGTATACGAGATTGGGTGACAAGACGGAGTTTAGTGGGTTTTTTATATTTTTAGGAATAGATTGTGGAATTAATAGGCACCTCTAATTACCTACACTGAAACGTCTGAAAATTTTGAGCAATTATATTATGCTTTAATTGCTCCAAGCTCCTTGGGGAAACGTACGTACTTGCTGGATTGACTGAGGTAAAACAGGTTTTGCGAGGCTAGAGCGATTCCCTGCCCTCTTAATTGAACGTTGGATTTAGACGTACACTCTACCTACGGCCAAAAATGATTGTACTAGAAATAGGTAGCGGCTTGCGAAATTGACATACTGTCCCGTTTTATTCTGGGTCCTCTTAGGATAAGGTCAGTTAGGTTAGGGTAAGGGCACTTTAGTACGGTAGTTCCTTGGAAAATTAGAGCCAGTTATGATTATTGGCTCTAATTTGCAATAATTAAAAGTTTTTAATTAGTTTCATTTTACATAATGGAATTATATTATTAAAAATATAGAAAAGTTGAATTTGTTATTCTAATAAATGTTTCATTTATATTCATAGTGTCTACTTAATCACTTAATTTAAATACAAAGATGTCAAAAGTATTGAAAATTTTACAATGTAAATTTTGGTCAATTGTCGGTGACATCTCTTAACTTTATTTATACAGATAAGTTGGGAAATCCTGATGCCAGTCTTCACACTGGCCAGCCCTCAAGCCTGATGACCACTCTTGGTGTAGGACTTAATCTAAACATTGGCGTTGGGACGGACGCTTCTGTCGCTGGGGCCTCTCCGGCTGTGACCACTCTGGAGAGACTAATGGTCCCGACCTCCTCCTCCTCTACTCCGGACACAGTGGTGGTTCCGGCCTCCTCCTCCACTCCGGACACAGTGGTGGTCCCGGCCTCCTCCTCCTCCACTCTGGACACAGTGGTGGTCCCGGCCTCCTCCTCCTCCACTCTGGACACTGTGGTGGTCCCGGCCTCCTCCTCCTCCACTCCGGACACTGTGGTCGTCCCGGCCTCCTCCTCCTCCTCCTCCACTCCGGACACAGTGGTGGTCCCGGCCTCCTCCTCCACCCTGGACACAGTGGTGGTCCCGGCCTCCTCCTCCTCCTCCTCCTCCTCCACTCCGGACACAGTGGTGGTCCCGGCCTCCTTCACCACTCCGGACACAGTGGTGGTCCCGGCCTCCTCCTCCTCCTCCACTCCGGACACAGTGGTGGTCCCGGCCTCCTCCTCCTCCACTCCGGACACTGTGGTGGTCCCGGCCTCCTCCTCCTCCACTCCGGACACAGTGGTGGTCCCGGCCTCCTCCTCCACTCCGGACACAATGGTGGTCCCGGCCTCCTCCTCCACTCCGGACACTGTGGTGGTCCCGGCCTCCTCCTCCTCCTCTTCCACTCCGGACACAGTGGTGGTCCCGGCCTCCTCCTCCTCCTCCACTCCGGACACAGTGGTGGTCCCGGCCTCCTCCGCCACTCCGGACACTGTGGTGGTCCCGGCCTCCTCCTCCTCCTCCTCCACTCCGGACACAGTGGTGGTCCCGGCCTCCTCCTCCTCCACTCCGGACACAGTGGTGGTCCCGGCCTCCTCCTCCTCCACTCCGGACACAGTGGTGGTCCCGGCCTTCTCCTCCACTCCGGACACTGTGGTGGTCCCGACCTCTTCTCTGTCCCCGACCAAACCTTTTGAACAGCTGGAAATGATGTCGTCTCGACCTGTCTATCTTCAAAGTGGCCTTTAGAATAAAACACAATTAAATAGTTTCCGTTGTGGTTATAAAGCTGCCTGCACAGTTATTATTGTATATTTATCACTTTATCGTCAGCTAGTGTTCAAGTTTTAATCTTGGATTTGAGTGTGAGCATGTAGGAGTTTGTGGGCATTTACGCATTTTCACGTATGCGTTTATGGGCACGTGTACATGTTATACTTTTACAGAAATCTCAACTTTGCCAGAAACTTGGCAATGTTCGGCGAGGCTACCTGCAAGCGTCTAATATTCTACTTTTGACAGACTCGGGCACACTTTCTTTGAGAGATAAAGATGACATAATCTTACTAAAATGACCGGCACGACCAGGTTTCAGCAAGTAAACTGCACGGGTAAAATATATAGTGGAACAGGTGGCTACTATATATAGCAGGAAAGGTACTTGATCTCTAATTTTCCGTTCGGCCATCCTAGGACACAGCCTCATATGCCGGCGCCTGCTACAAAAAAAAAAACCTACACCATTCGGACAGCTGCGCACAGCATATAGAAAAAACATTGTACTGCAAACAAAACCTCTCGGTGTTCGAATCTATCATTCATTCCCTGGCAGTAGAGTAGCAATCTTGCTGTTCAATCAACCAGCCAAAATAAAAATGGTTTTGCCCGAAACAATTTGAGTAATATTGGCTTTATTAGTTTCTGTAACGCCTTTTCCGGCAATTGTATATTACTCTTATATTCTTTGTACACATTCTTTTGAAGAAAAAAAATTCATTTGAATACTGGTTAAGGACGCCAACTCTTGCGTATGGCAATTTGTTTTCTCGCCAACTATTTGGACGATAACTTGAACACAATATAACATTATATAAAAGTAACTATTGCCACCATACACAAACTGTAAATTTTAACCGAATAGAAATACTTGAAACTCTGATCTTAAAACATTAAATCTAATATTAAAAATCATGTTCTCAAACATCTTTCAAAATAAGACATTCTTGAGCAAAGACACTGGCATTCATGACATTTCGGGCAGGTCCTTAAGTTGGGTCCAGTTAGTCATTCATTCTGCATATCTTCACAAAGCACAATAATATGATGCATGATTAATCAGAATTTTAATTTTTGTATTTATCTATTGAAATGAATTTACATGGTGATTTGGACATAAAGCAAACTAGACAAATGCCACCGACTCGTGCTTAAATATACAAGTGAACCTAGACTCCAGGTAATGTGCAAATCTGGGAGTTCTCTCATTATAAGTAACATAAAACTGTCATAACAAAATAATATTGGTATAATAATCTGGTGCCATGATGGCTAAGTCAAGGGTGCTTGAGTGAAGCCCATACAGGGGAGGGTGCAGTGTGGTGTTACACTACACAGTGAGGCTAGACGCTGCAATATTGTGTGCCGAGGAAGAGAGCTCGTGCAATAGTATCATGTACCGGCTACATGACCGGCTCGAGGGAGCCGGTCAGCCGAGCGGACAGGACACTGGACTTGTGATCCTGGGTTCGATCCCGGGCGCTGGCAAGAAACAATAGGCAGAGTTTTTCACCCTATTTCCCAGTTTGGTGCCTTCTTTTGATAATTACTTCTTTCACCCTATGCCCCTGTTACCTAGGAGTAAAATAGGTACCTGGGTGTTAGTCAGCTGTCACAGGCTGCTTCCTGGGGGTGGAGGCCTGGTCGAGGACAGGGCCGCGGGGACACTAAAGCCCCGAAATCATCTAAAGATAACCTACCCTCCAACTATGGTAGTATTCAAAGTCTTTGATATTTTGCAGTTTGGCACATTTTTGGACTGGCTTAAAGTGATAAATGTGAACTAAAGTTAGAGAATTGGTATAGATTATTAGTAAGGGTCCATCAATTAGTATAGTTTATTCAAATGTTTTGCTTCTCCATGTAAATATTTCCTACAAACCAAACATGTTGAGAGGTTACACAAGTATATAATTTCCAATAATATAACAAACGACTAGCAGAAATTGAGTTAATATATTTACTGATTGGTACAAGAATTCATGACTGACAACTTGAATCGGTGAACTATGATAACATTGAAACAAAGATAAAGACAAATAGGGGGGGAAGGGGGTGCCTTCAACAAGCTGGCGGCTTCCTGTCCTTGTCGAGGCCACTAGAGTTAGTGGTCCTCAGGTAAATTAGGGAAATATTGGCTGTATAGTAAAGAACATAAGCCCCAAAATGAGAAATATTTCCCAAAGTTGGAGACTTTGATCTCCCTTAGGAGTATGTGGAGTATTATGAATTTAGGATTGGAGTTAAAATTGTGTACAACATGATACGGTTTGACTTTTTAAGAGTGTAAGACCGACTATTGGGCTTCAAACAGGTACCAAGCACACATTTAACATACATCAAAGCATTTGCATGAACCTCTTGTCATCCAAAGATAAGCCTGCCAGATTTTAGCCGCCCTACAAAGGCATAACAAGGGATGAAGATGTTTAAAAGTTCAAAATTATCACACCGAGTTCTCTATTTAATATTTTATTTATCAAGGTAAAGAAAATGTAATTCTGAATATGAATTATAGTTTAGGTTGTGGAAGAGTTCATGTTGGATTGTTTTCTGGCATGGACACTTAAGACTCATTTGCATGTTATACAGTGTAATGATTGTTTATTATGATCTTTGATGCAAGTAGTTTGTAGATATGTAAAAAGACATGGGAAATAAATTATTTAGGAGTGACTTATTTTCTCTCCAAACATACAGGTACTGTATATACATCTTGACTTGACTTTGATGTGCCCTCTTACCCAAGAGACGCAAAAGATGGTTAAGTGTGCCCGACCAGGATTACCTTGTAGTTACATTGTGTTGGTTCTGGGGATCAACCTGATCTGGTCAATCAGGGCTGGGGAGGGGGCATGGTTTACCCCAAAGCACCCCTTCACAAAGCAGGTTAATGTGAATCCACGAGTCCATAGGCTACCATTAGTTTGAGGTAGCTCTGTATTAGCATGAGTGACTGCCAGCCCTGCACGCCCCACACCGCACCATGCCATACTCGGGCAAGGTGTTCAAGAGAAAACTAAGTCTTCTAAAAGAAGTGCCGGAGCAACCGGGCTGTGGTGGATATGTAGGCCTGTGGCCCACTTCAAGCAACAGCCTGTTGGACCAAGCTCTCACAAGTCAAGCAGGGTTGAGTAGAACAACTAGAAGCCCATCAAGTAGGCTAATCAAGGTAACTCCCCACCCCCAGTTCCGGCACCTGGGGTGTTCAGCGCACTTATTATTATTTGTGTATTCAGATACAGTATTGAGATTTAAAATATACTTTGAGCTCGCTTATTCAAAGCCCACTGATCCGAATAAAGTACGGTATTTGGGTTATCCAGTAAAAATAGCAGCCAGATATTTTTTCCGGCAAAACTTCGCAATACCCGAATAGCAATTCAGCAGGCCCTAAGTATTTTGACTTGTCAAAATGAACATACTTTATAAGATGATTTACACGTCCATAGTTGACTCTGTAGATACAGTACCTGTTACAACTGAGTGCATTTAGTGGTACATCCAAGGAGGACTTGAAATTCATACATATAAACTATTCTTGTATACAGTAAGCATGAGTGACAAGTAAGCTCGTGTCCTTACACGAGTTTCGAACTGGTGCCCTAGCTTAGAGTGAGGAAGGGGTCCACAAAGAAACCAGGGGAACAGTGGTACGAGGAGCAGCAAAAAAGTGCATCAGCAGAGGACATCAGCCACTTGAATCCAAAAATGAAATGGGCCAACTCCTTGGCAATCACAGAAACATCAAGTCGCACATAACAAAAGGGCAGATGAACCGAAAGTGGCCGCTGCTTGTGGAGCCATCATTATTTCAACAGTAAATACTGTAAAATCCAAAAGACAAAGCTTGAATTAAATTAATAGACCAGCAAACCCAAATGTCACAGACTGTAGATGGTGGATTCTCCTTCTACCCACCCAACAGGTGGTAGGAGACAGTAAAATTGACCATTGGTTCATAGCAAAACCAACTAGTAACCCTCAAACTTGCAAATAGCGAATGCAAGCTTGGTGGGTTGAACCATTCTATGGCTGGTTTTGATTTTGAGTTTTACGAAAAAGGAAGATTTTGCCGAGGCGGTGGTTCTTCCTTCTTCCTTGGCTGGCACCTTTTTTGATAATTAATTAAATCTTTGAATATGTTAGACATTAAGTCACTGCACATTCTTTAAAGTGTAATGTAATTATAATATATATATAAATATATATATATATACAATGGGGTCGAGGGGCCTCGACTTACGATGCTAATCCGTTCCCAGAGACGGATCGTAAGTCGAAGTGATTTTTCCCATAAGAAATAAAGGAAATTGAATTAATCCGTTCCACCCTCCAAAATATTAACATACAAATACATTTTATACTGAATACAATGTTTTTTCTAACTACAATACAATATCAAAGTGTCTATTACCTTTATGGAGGGCTCTTGATGGCGTATGGAAGATGGGGATGAGGGGGGGGAGGAAAAGAGTTGTTCCTGTCTGGAAGGGGAGTCCCCTTCCATTACCACATCAGGCAGTGATGTTTTCTCTGGGGTACTCTCTCTCCTACGTTTTGCGTGAATACCACTAAGACCTGGTTGTGGTTCAGTGCTTGTTTGTCTCACTACAAATTTGTCAAGAGGCATTTGTTTTTTCCTTCATTTTAACATTTGTCTGTAATGATGCATCACAGTGTCATTGAATAGGTTAAGGCAACGACCTACTGCAGCTTGATTTGGGCGAGTCGTTTCAGCAAAGGTTTGCAATTCTTCCCATGCTGCACACATTTTCTTAATTGTTGAGGAAAAGACATTCTGTACTCTTGTTTCTGCTCTATGGTCATCCTTACATGGGTTTTCATATGTTGAGCCTTACCACTGACTTTCCTGGGACTCATGGCATGATATATAATAATTAATTTAATGTTCAAAATGCAAAAAATCACCACAAAAGCGGAATTTCTTATAGGCGCAATCGTCACTAAGCGAGCAGCTGTAGTAAACTGAGGCAGGTCGGCCGCGTGACCGGGAACCACGCGCTCGGTCGACCCGAACGTGTACCAACAAATATCGGAAGTCGACGACACCATCGGATGTTGAGTTGCATTTTTCGATGAAATTTACATCGTAACTAGAAATTATCTTAAGTAGAGGCAATCGTATGCCGAGGTGCCACTGTATTAAATAGATAAATAAAATTAGAACTATAATACAGATCCTGACCTTAAATGCTTCTTAGAAGGTTGTAACAGAACCCATGGACATCACATCTTTGAAAATTCTTTTGGAGACAATTCCTAACCTCTTCTCATGGTCATGTTTTTTATTAATAGATTTAAGTATACCCTTTGTAAGCCATAGATTGTTTAACCTTTAAGCCGTGACCTGTTTCGTTAGCATTGGAGAGTGGGTGTTATGTTAAAACACCCAAATAGGGGCAGGAGAGGGGGCGAAGGCAACCCTCACCGGTCCCTGGGAGGTTTACGTGAGCCCCTCGCTACAACAAGGCGACACCATGGAGGGGGTAGCAATGCCTAGTGATCAAACTATCACAAAAAAATTATTTGAATTAATGTCTCATCACCCAACCTGTCCTCTCAAATAGTACATCACAATTTTATGTATAAATCCCAAATGGCCAAAAATAAGTATCCGTACTAAAAATCACAGTGGCTTGCAAAATTCACCGGCTGTCCCATTTTTCTATTCAGGGGTCCTCGGAATTTAGCATATAATTTTTATGACAAATCGAGAGGATGGGCTGCATCATTAGTTTGCAATGATTAAGAAAAGGTATAAAGAATAAAGATTTATTCCACAAAATTACATGGGCTTAGCATAAAACACTTGTGTTGAGCCTGTAGTAAGCTCAGCCTTTTAGGCAAGAAAAATATGACAACATATCACAATATGCATTTTAAACATAATCTAGGTATAGTACATTACAATATATTTGCCATTGCAATGCCATTTGAACACAGACCTTGTAAAACTCTCGAATGAATAAATTTTACAATTAATATTGGTGAGAAAGTCAACTGGAACTCCGAGGCGAGTCGAACCCACATACATGGCACTCCCAGCTGCTCACCTTACCACTGTACCACCTAGAGTGGCTGGGTGTGCCTTGGTCGCAGGTTCCAGTCACCTCAGAGCTCCAGTGGATTTTCTCATCGATATATATCACGTTAGTGTGATTTCATTGTGTATATTAATATTGGTGTTTTAATAGCCAGATGTACTCAATATTACATTTAAACATCATTTACATATAATAAAAAAAATCATTGCAGCACATCACAATACCCACAACATTCATTGGACTAAAATTTATACACAGGTCATTATCAAGTAGAACTTATTATAAAATTTAAACAAGATCAATTTTTTTAGAAATGTCATTTCTTCTAAACACAGTAATGCCCAAGACTGTCTATTATAACCATCTGAACTAGATCCCAGTCAAAGTAAGTGTTGAATAGAACAAGGTCCTTCAACTCATCTAAACCAAACTAAAGCTCGATTGCTGTCCCTAGCTGCTCTGACAACCACATCAGGACACACGCCAAATGATAACCATCTTCCATAGATCAACTAGTTGTATCCTACAAAATAGGAAATATGGAAAACATTTATGACCATTTGGAGTGATCAACCTTTTGACAAAAAAAAAAATATTAATTTGTTAAGTCAGTAACTTGTGTTGTGATGAATTACACTTTTTGAGAGTGTATTAGTACAGATTCGACAGTAGCCATTATGAACCCTTAAATTCAGCTCTCTCATGCAAACTATAGCATGTTAACAAAAAAACTTTCATGCACATCCACAGAGCTTCTTATCCCTTCCAGGGAGGGAGCTTCCTCACACATCCAGACACACGAAGAGGTTCTGTAGTGTGAGTGTAGACCAAGGTAGGTACTGTAGTGCAAGTAATTACCCAAGTGTAGTTACAGGATGAGAGCTACGCTTGTGGTGTCCCATCTTCCTAGTACTCTTTGTCATATAACACTTTGAAACTACTGATGATTTTGGCCTCCACTACCTTCTCACTCAACTTGTTCCAACCATCTACCACCATGTTTGCAAAAGAAAACTGTCTAATATTTTTTGGGGCACTTTTATTTCCTTAGCTTGCCTCTGTATCCTCTTGTTCTTGAAGCTGCTGGTTTCAGGAATTCCTCTTTGTAATTTTGGTTGATTCCTGTTACTATTTTGTAAGTGGTGATCATATCACCTCTTTTTCTTCTATTTTCTAACTTTGGCATATTTAACGTCTCTAGCCTCTCCTTGTGGCTCTAGTTTTTCAGTTCAGGAAGCCATTTTGTAGCATGCCTTTGCACCTTTTCCAGTTTGATGATGTGCTTGAGATATGGGCACCATATATCTGCTGCATATTCCAATTTTGATCTGAAGTTGGAAAGCGTTGCATACGCTCCTCGCACAATGTTATTTGTGTGTTCCTCTAGTGACAGTTTACTATCCAAAAACCCCACTAGATCTCTTTCTGTATTAGAGTCCTTTAATTCCCTTCCACATAAATTTATAAGTTTTGTGTTGTCTATTTTCTCCGATGTCACATTCCATAACAAGACATTTATTTATATTGAATTCCATTTGTTACATGTTGCTCCAAGCACTTATTTTATCAAGATCCATTTGAAAGGCATTGCAATTGTCTCCATCTCTTATCTTCCCTAGTATTTTAGCATCATCCGCAACCATGTTCATATAATTGTATTCCTTCTGGTGGGTCATGTAGATCCTGTTTATGTAGACGATGAACATTACTGGTGCAAAAACCAAACCCTGTGGTGCTCTGCTAGTAACACACTTCCAGTCAGGAGGATCAATGAACATGAAGCACATACTATAATGGAACTACAGTATATACAGTACTAGGAAAAAAGTTCCCCCCCCCCATCCACAGGATGAGTAATTACCTAAGTGTAGTTACAGGATGAGAGCTACGCTCGTGGTGTCTCGTCTCCCCAGCACTCTGTCATATAACGCTTTGACCTCTTGTTCTTTAAGTTCTGGGTCTCGGGAATTCTTCCCTATCAATTTTATCGATTCCTGTTACTATTTTGTACGTAGTGATCATATCACCTCATTTTCTTCTACCTTCTAGTTTTTGCATATTTAATGCCTCTAACCTCTCCTTGTAGCTCTTGTTCTTCAGTTCTGGGAGCCACTTAGTGGCACATCTTTGCACCTTTTCCAATTTGTTGATGTGCTTCTTAAGATATGGGCACCACACAACTGCTGCATATTCCAGCTTTGGTCTAACAAAAGTTGTGACCAATTTCTTTAGTATTTCTCCATCCATGTATTTAAAAGCAATTCTGACGTTAGAAAGTGTAGCATAGGCTCCTCGCACAATGTTCTTAATGTTCTTTGACTGGAAGATTGAAGCAATTTCAGCGAGACAGCTACAGGAAGCCAGTGGGGCTATACCAAAAAAAAAAAAAAAGAGGCATTTCATTGCATTTAATACTAGTTTTTCAATGGCTCACACAAATTGTATAATTTATATACAATATTTCTGAGACATTTCAGGTACCTTCACATATCTCTTGCTGGAATACATTAAACATTTATTGAGAAATTATACATTCTCTTAAAGCAAGCCAGTTATCTGATGTACAGGTTCATTATATCAAACTGAAGCCCATTGTGATGAGGTAACCAACAAGTGTTGTCAGTGTGGCAGTACTTGATAAACTGATGTTAGTATGGTAACACTGTAGTTGGTTGAGAGCAAATAAATCAGGCATTGAAAGTTAATTCTGATATGACACTATGCGTTTCTCTTGTTGCTATGGAAAATATAACCTAATATTAAGCCTAGCGATCAATGTCAACTTAAGGGTTGTAAGACATTAATCCCTTTCATATTTGAGAGAGTTTGTGTTCACTTCAGACAGTTAAGAGAGTCCCAGCTGTGTCTGGGGTACAAGTGGTTGGTTAAACAACTCAGTGGGTCTTCTTCCTATTGGTGGTTTTGGCTGTTATAGTGTCCAATAAACTAGCCCTTCAGGGAAAAATTAAAATTAGTGGGATATTTTGCCTTAAATTATTGAGAGAAAATTAAACTCCATTGCCTAATCATATTTCTCTATCGAGCCATAAGCTAACATCCAGGTATGAGAAAGGGTGCACGAGAAGATGTTAACATTTGAAGATGGCAGCAGCACTAACAGAAACTGTCCTATACAGAATGTAAATTTAAAGATTTTCACGCTAAATTCTACTTCATACTAAGGTATAATGCAACTACAGTGACACACATGTTTTAGATTAAAGTAATATAAAATAATTTTGATGATTATTCCTAGGCCAATTTTTTTTTTTTTTTAGTTTTGTATTTAAATTTGTATTTTCCTGACACAAGAGAATAATTTATTAGGAATGTATGTACAGTTTGTGGCTATAAATGCACTTCCACCAATCTACACGTTCACTAAATAGTCGTAAAAATATGGTTTACCTTTACCTTGAGGTGTTTCCGGGGTTTAGCGTTCCCGCGGTCTGGTCGTCGACCAGGCCTCCTCGTTTCTGGACTGATCAACCACCCTTGTCAGGGACAAGAAGCCTGTACTTGGCCTTATCGATATCAAACCTAGGACACCTACTGATCTTTCCAAGGGTACAATCCACAACAGTTGTCAAGCTCCTGGGTACTGTACTTATTTACTGCAAGATGAATAGTGGCATCAGGTGAAAGGAAATGTGCCCAACCATCTCTTGGTTGTGAGCCGATGATGTAGACTACTGTGACACAGAATAACTTCTAGAGCACTGATGGATCATTTGTTATAGAAAATTCATGGCTTTTGATATTTTCATGAATGCCTTCTTTGAATTTTAAAAGTTGGGTGGGAAATACAGAACTCTATTTATAAATGTGAAGTGATGAAGAATAATGAGGACCCTGATTAGGCTTCAGTGGAAGCCTCGGGAACCTTAGAGGATTCAGACGAATCCCAGGTTGCAATGCTTTTGAGCGTGACGTGGTGTAGCGGTCAAAAGCATTGCAACCTGAAGAACCTACGAGTTGCCTGGGAGTTCCCAGGGCATAGGCTCGAATCCTCCAAACGGCTCCTACTAATTTTCTCCTTATGAAGATGTATGTGAAACTCCCTGGAGCCCAAACCAGTATGAAACCACTGGTTTGGGCTCCAGTTGGAAGCTTCAGGAACCCCTAGTGGATTCAGCCGAATCCCAGGTTGCATTGCTTTCGACCGTGTCGTGATGTAGTGGTATAGGGTGTTATAACTTGGGAGTACCAAGTGAGTGAGTTCCAATCATCAACATGGCTCCAACTGATGTTCTTATTGATACATCACATTAATGTGATTTCATTGTGCATGCATATTTTATTATATAATATATATATAATATATACACACACACACACACTGTCTGTAGTTTCCAGACAGCAGTATTCTACCCCTCCTCTTAAGCTTAGTGAATGTACTCAATCATTAAAATGACAGTGGGAAAAGCAATATTCTTAAGTTTCTCTAAGATTTAATAAATGTAATTAAGCCTTTCACTCTCATGGCAGGAAGCAAGACTCCGTCCATCTCTAAAACTTAATAACCCCACTCAACCGTTACCATTTCCAAACTACACGAACACAAAATATATATCTGACGATTTTAAAAGACTCAACAACTACAGTACTTTATTCAAAAATATAGATTTCACTTTACTCCTTCAGCTGTTATTTAAATGTTAGCTTATTAAGTGCAGTTTCAAGTCTGTTGTCAAACTGTTCTATTCAGTATCACATTTGTATACATTCAACGATAACCTATTAACTCTCAGACAGCGGTTATCGTCATGTGTTGATTTGCAGGGGTAATGCAGTAATCCTTATATGATGATTTAAGAATTATTGCCTGGGTTTTACATGTGTGATGAAAATATGGAGAAAAACATCAATAACAGCTCTACAGTATATGGATGTAATGGAGTTTACCTTGACCCATGAAAAAATCCTGCTGTCGTTTCATGGTTACGTTACTATATGAATGCGCTTATCATGAATGTTACTAGGGGAATGTGGTCATTGTATACAATTTATCCATAAATACATGAAATGTATACCAATGATGTTCACATGGTTTTCACAACTTAATATGTTTGAAATGAGGTATACCAGGTAAACAAATCATCAATTGAACCATTATCATATGTGTACAAGGAACCTGTCGTCATCTGTGTGTTGGTGCATTGATGGCTTATGCCTCTGTTTCAATTTATACTGTTGACCATATGGTGCCCATTGGGCCCTACATCATCGCCTATAGCTATACCAGGTAAAGCAATCGTTAATTGTAACATTATCATGCATCATGTGAATTATGTGATTGATCAAGTTATTCAACACACATACTCTCATAAATATAGAAGAACAAGTTATAATTAATGAAACATCCAAGTAGAACACAAGAGTCGTGTCTCGCATACCTTAGCGTCAGCAAAATCGGCATTGTGTTTTGACAGATGCTAGACCACATAGCCACCGTGCAAACATTTCAGAGTCCCTCCACCCAGTAAAAAGATAAATATTCACTTAATTTTATGTTTTACTTGCATTTTGCATATAAATTAATAATTGTATAATAATTTTTTTTTCGCTGGGAGGACATGACCATTTTTCCATAGCTGCTGTCCAAGGATTAATAGTACTTTTAACTGTTTAACTGAATTATCTTCTCAATAACAAATGCATTATTACATACATAAACCAAACCCATGAGCTTAATTGGTTTTCCAAAATAGGGATTACATTAACTATGTACCATATGCACCGAGATTTCCAAACAGCCTACGTCTTAAATACTCCTACTTGGTTAATCAAAGAGGGAGAGAGACTTCTATTCCTGAGCAGGCGTTTGCATGCCAGGACGTGAGAGATGCTGGTGTAGCCACTGTGTCAGATCCTCAAGGTTGTGTTGGTGCCACTGAATGTGCAAGCGTATGGTCTCCAGTGCTTGTGCCAGCGCCCTCTCCCCTGGACCAACATCAACATCCTTGAAGAAGGACTCCACCTGAAAAGGAATATCAAGTAATAAATGAATAGGTTAGGTTACAAAAATAAAGTGTTGAATGTAATGAAAAACTGTTTGGATTGGCTCTCGGTAGCTCTGCAGTGCTAACTTGCTGGTAAGCACTGTCAGCTGGGGCTCTGACAGCTGAGTGGACAGCGCTCGGGATTCATAGTCCTGAGGTTCCGGGTTCGATCCGTAGTGGAGGCGGAAACAAATGGGCAGAGTTTCAGGCAATTTCAACGAAGGGCCTCAAATGCTGTCTGACCTATCTGGTTTTTTTCCAGGGTAGAAGGTATGTTCGTCCAGGTGAATGCTTTGCTGTTTCCACCTCAATTTGTGCTGGATTACTCCTTGACCCACCCTCGGGTAGATATCCGAGTCACATTTGTTGACTTGAATTTGTGTGCTAACGAGGTTGTCACAATATCACTTAACATTGGGTCAAGCTCAGTGGGAATTGTTGAGGTTCCTGCTGTGAAGCTAGAACTGTGCATCTAAGGTGAATCTGAGTGTTTTTGAGTTTGGGTGTGTGGCCTCCCTCTTCCTAATTACCTTGTGCGGTCACAGCCTACTACTGTCTAGCAGATAATAAATTACAGTATTTTTTATTGATAGCTGGCAAATATTTGTCACACACTCAAACTGTGGAGTCATCATCTTGATTTTCAGTGTGTTCTTATTGGAGGCATCCTTTGAATCTTATTAGGATGTCACTTTCTCCTGCATTGTTCAGTTATATGGCGTCTTACTAGTTCCACATCTACGTTCCTTGTTTATCCTTGATTACAGTTGATAATACAGTATAGCCTGTACTAGGATGGCAGAGAGGGCTTCTTTTCTTCCTGTGCAGGAGTAGATGGCTTCCTGACTGTGAGGTGCATGGGTTTCACGAGTGGTGGACTCTGCTGCATTTACTAAGGTGTTATCTAAACTATTCACTCCCAGGAGTCATTGGAGGCCACAAAATGCCTTAGATAAATGTTATTTAACTCCTGGTCTCCCATTACCATATGATTGACCAGACAAATATGAAGACATTGTGTATGATACACAGAGTATTTTCAATACTCTTGTATATTCAGTAGATCTATACTCTTAAAAAAGTGTACAGTAATAATTTTTTTGCTTACATGATGAAATTATCATAGGTAAAGTGGTCTCAGAACTGAAATTTTTAAAAGATTAGATTATGACATACTCAAAGGAGGTGCTTACTAGGTCACCTATCTTAACAATTCATACCAACCTCTCCTAAATCAAATGAAGAGGTGAAAGGAGATGTAACAGCTTTGATAATTGCTCCCATGGTAAAGGATCCATGACCAAAGAGCCGAGAGATTTTTTGCCAATGTTGACGAACCATTCGCCATGCTGGTAATATTCCTCCGGGATTTTTGCTGACTTCCTTAAGCACTGTCATGACATCTTGGGGTCTGATCTTGACATCATCTAGTGTATACTCCAAGTATCTGCAGGAAAAGGTATTGCATGTCAACTTTCTATTGTTTCAGGTGCATTGTTTTAACAAGAAAAGTCTCCACTATTTAATTTCCACGAAACATGAGCTTAATATGACTAAAATATCAACACCTTCCTCTTGAGAGAAAAAATAATCAGGTTCACTAGTCTGTGGTGTAATACACTTATTTTTATTACAGTATACAGACAATCTTTGTTATACTGAATGATAATGCCATATATGAAATTTCATTAGTGTTACTTATACAGTACAGTAAATTAAGGGACTAGTTCAATATGCTGCATTAAAATCACATTTAAAAATATCAGAATCTCTAATTTATAATTTGTTTGGGGAAAATCACACGATGAAGCTGTCTGTCATCTTGAAAGCTCTAGACATAAGTGTCTCTTTCCCAACCCAAAATAATATCACAGCAAGAGTTGAAGCAAGTCCACCAGGACCAATTCCAAGAGAACACAAGACGATGGAAACCTGCACAAAGAGAGGCATGTCTAGGCTGCTAACTCATATATGAAAATCAGCAAAGAAGCAAAGGTCGAATCTAGCTTATACTGAAATGGGGGGGTTTAAGAAAACACATCCATATAGAGCAACAAATCTTCCAGACAAGGCACCAAACTCTCTTTAGAGTTGCAGGGCAACCATGGACCTTCCTCTAGCAGCACTATATCCCTGGGACCATCCCTTACCCTACCCCCAACATCTTCCTTCCTTCCTTCCTTCCTGGTCCCTGAGCACAACAGTAGACGGAGCATCAGTAAGAGTAGCCCCCAACTCTGAGGTGCATGCAAAAGAAATAGTGAGAATGAGGAGGGAACAGAAAGCTTTTCATCTCTGTCAAAACCACTGTCTGTCAGTGCCTGCAGACCCCTTGGCCTGAGGCCATTTAGAAGTCAGTACCAAGGGACAAAGTTGAGAACAACACGAGGCCAGCATAAATTTGGCACAGCTGTCAAAAACAATATGCACAACATCCTACTTTTAAAACATCCAGAGTCTGCAGACACCATAACTACAAAGCACGATGACCAAACCACACATCAGAAAATGAAGAAATAACGATGTTTTGGTCCGGTCTGGACCATTATCGAGTCGTGTAAAACCATTCTCCTGCAATGCAACCCAAACCTGATATGATGGTTGAGCCCTGTTCTAAAGGGGTGTCATAAGTCCAGCCCTGACAACCTGTTGGAGAAAAGACTCCTGCACCTAACCGGCAGCATGACAGAGGCAGCGAGAGTGAATGTCAAGATCCAAGAACACCGAATCACGCTTGTTTTGTGTTTACATATTTAGCCTCCCATTAATATCTCCCTTGTTAACACCCTTTTATCCCTTAGTATTGTTCAGGCATGAGTCCTAATACTTTAGATGTAAGAGCGATAAAGCATAAAGCACACGTACTGTTGCATCAGCCATGGGTCGCGTGTTTGAGCCATAGCCTGCAGCATGAGTCCCTTCTCGCTTGGTACGGATGATGTATTGTACACGTGCCAACAGTGTCTCCAGTCTTCCTCGGTACCATATCTGCAATGCCACAATACATAAAGCATACATATTATTTATCTCAGTACCATAACTAAAAATAATAAATGTGAAATCAATACCCAGACAACTTCAGCATAAATAAAAGTGGATAATAACTAAATAGTTAATAAAAAAAAAAAAATTTAACTATTTAAAAAATTGACAAGTCCCAATTTTCCCAAGTCCTAGAAAATTGGCAAAATTGGCAAATTTGCATATGCGGAACAAAGCAAAACATAAGTAGGTATCCAAGGTAACAAGGCAAACAACTGTTATCACGAGGTGAACAAACATACCGAGTTTGCTGCACCTGTCCACCACCAGGTGACAGCCCAGGTCACCCGTGGAACTCCATCAGAACGCACCTCCGTGTATTCGCTTGGTCTTGCATAGATTGCCCAAGAATCGGCCTGGTCTCATCCTATTATTTTATGCTAGAGCTATATTGTATTTGCTCTCCCTGGAATATTCATTCCACCAAGGGGTCATTGCTTTGTTATGCTTCTTGCTCTGATGAACGATTCTGGTTGCAATGAATCCTAGACTCCAGTGAATTGGATCTGGTCACAAATAGTCCTCTGAATCAAAGTTGCACTATACAGTACTGTATGTGTAACTTTGATGCTGAATTGTTTACCCGAGCATTTATCCCAAGTCAATGATCATTTTCCTTTTTTTACCTAGGGGTGGCCATTTTACTTCACTTGCCCGAAACGGCTTGTGCATGGCTTGCCTGAAATGCTATGCGTATTAGTGGCTTTAAATATTGTATGTACTAGCTCTATCTATAAATCCAACTTTATGTTTGCAAATTATCTATGTACAGCATGTACTTTTCCTGAATACAAAATTTGAATTCTAGAACCCATTCATTTTGTTGCATCTGCACTTTCTGGGGAGTTTTCTTCTGTATTTTTTGGATGACCTCTGATACCCTCACTTCACAGAATGAGCCAGACTCTGGATCTGGCTCCTAGTTGACAAAAGTCAAGCCTCACAGGCCTGGTGTCGTAGGTTAAGGCTTAGCGGTAGCAGAGTCAAGATTGAGGGAGTTACCGTTTGGCCCTCCCACAAACGGGTAATTATTATTTTAAACACGAGAAGGTCTATAAAATAAGTATATGATTACATATTTACACACCTCACTCCAGTGCTGTAGACAACAGATCGAAGATTAGGGGGTATTGTGTAAGAGTTTGAGCGCCATGCTGAGAACCATTTCTGAGCTTCTTGTATGGCATGTGTATTCCCACATTGCACTGCTGCCCACAGCACTTCTGAACGCAGCAACCTTAAAATAAAAATCCACGGTTATGTGATGGGATTTACCTTTACGTAGATAGCAAAATAAATTACTGTGTATACTGCCACGTGAGCAAGCTCTACCTTGACGAACCTCTGCAAGCACTCGTATTCATTGTGGCCTTGCTCTTCAATCTCTTGATTAAATTACAGTATTCATATGCATGATATTAATTCATATTGTTTTTATACAAAATATTTATGACTTTTGTATTCAATAGATTAAAGAATTATCTCGGTCATCATAGTCGTTCATTTCATGACAACCAAATTACAGTATACAATTACATGCAGATGCTGATGCCTTTTTGTTCCTGATTTTACCCAGTGTAAACAAAAAATATTTTAAGCTTTCTCATCGCTGCTCCACAATTTACACCTTTCTGTCCACTTTCTGTATAAATATGTATGACGGTATAATTATTTGTATTAATATATTTAGGAACATAGGTACATGACACCATTCTAGAGTTTTAGATAATTACAAAAACTATCTTGGCTGGCAGGGTTATGATGCCAAGGAGAGCTTAGTGGTATTTTGTTACTGCAGATGATGAGTCACAATAATGCGGCTGAAGATATGCCGACCAAACCACCCACCAGAAGATGAAGAGAAGACGACGTTTTGCTCCATCCTGGACCATTCAAGTTGTCACAATTGACTTGATAATGGACCAAGATGGATCGAAACGTCGCCATTTCTTCATCTTTTGGTGTGTGATTTAACCATCCTAAGTTGTTACTGTATGAATTATTTAGAAGTCATTCAAGGCTGGACTGACATTTGCCAGAGCTCCTAGCACTTAGCACCACAGCGACAACTGAAAAGCTTCCTGCAGTGCCAATGCAGAAATTAACTTGCTTCGAAAGTCGACAGAACCCTAGAGGGATCTCACCTTGCGGAACAACCAAGAAAGAGTGCTTAAATATATTCCACCGCGTGCATAATTTAACCAAAAGAAAACTTTAAACAACCTTACCTCTCTATATGAGTTCCAGTATCATTCCAGCCAATCCTTTCATAATGTGGCTGAACAAGTGTGTGTATATAGTCCAGCATTAGTGTATGGGCTGGGTAATTGAAGATGAGTTGTACCCACTGGAACAAGTGGCTCAGAGCTGTGTGCCAGGGAATGTACTTGGTCTCCTCCTTCAGGTACACACTCAGGTCTAGTGCCACTGCGGCACTGATGGTCCCAGCCCTAATAAATAACACCGTCGTCATCATCTCTTGTAAAATGGCAAATACAAAATCATATATTGATGTAGTTGTAATGGCACAAACATTGTAATTAACTTATATTCTTACAATAATAAAAATTTAAAGTACCAATATAAAACTTGACAAAAGTGAATTTTAAAAACTTTGCAATTCTAAATTGAACACCGATAGTAATTCAGTAAACAATATTTCTACTTTAAGAAATGAAAACAAAAAGACTAAATAGTATGAAAATAAGAATTTCAAAAATAATTATGCAGATGTAAAATAAATGACGAAGAGGAGCATGCAGATGAAGAGATCAATGTACAGTGTGGTGATACTGACCAAGGTTGACTTTGCACCAAGCCTTTTATGTACAGTACAAGTCAGAGCCACCAACTCTATTATTAAAAAAAAAAGCAAATCGATATACATAAGCAAAAATCAAAATATATGATAAAAATCTGATTTCCTACATGCACTCTAAATGAAAAGATCAAAAGTTGCAGTGACAAAATAGAAGATGATTCTTGTAGCAGCATATAATGAAAATAAAGGTAAAGATTTTCATACAATTGTTATTCTGATTGACCATACAGCCTGCTATGCTGTCCAGTATTGTTGTGAGTGACCATACAGCCCGCTGTGCCGTCCAGTATTGTTATAAGTGACCATACAGCCCGCTATGCTGTCCAGTATTGTTGTGAGTGACCATACAGCCCGCTATGCTGTCCAGTATTGTTATAAGTGACCATACAGCCCGCTATGCTGTCCAGTATTGTTGTGAGTGACCATACAGCCTGCTATGCTGTCCAGTATTGTTATAAGTGACCATACAGCCCGCTATGCTGTCCAGTATTGTTGTGAGTGACCATACAGCCCGCTATGCTGTCCAGTATTGTTGTGAGTGACCATACAGCCCACTATGCTGTCCAGTATTGTTCTGAGTGACCATACAGCCCGCTATGCTGTCCAGTATTGTTGTGAGTGACCATACAGCCCGCTATGCTGTCCAGTATTGTTGTGAGTGACCATACAGCCCACTATGCTGTCCAGTATTGTTCTGAGTGACCATACAGCCCGCTATGCTGTCCAGTATTGTTGTGAGTGACCATACAGCCCGCTATGCTGTCCAGTATTGTTGTGAGTGACCATACAGCCCACTATGCTGTCCAGTATTGTTCTGAGTGACCATACAGCCCGCTATGCTGTCCAGTATTGTTGTGAGTGACCATACAGCCCACTATGCTGTCCAGTATTGTTCTGAGTGACCATACAGCCTGCTATGCTGTCCAGTATTGTTGTGAGTGACCATACAGCCCGCTATGCTGTCCAGTATTGTTGTGAGTGACCATACAGCCCGCTATGCTGTCCAGTATTGTTGTGAGTGACCATACAGCCCGCTATGCTGTCCAGTATTGTTGCGAGTGACCATACAGCTCACTATGCTGTCCAGTATTGTTGTGAGTGACCATACAGCCTGCTATGCTGTTCAGTATTGTTCTTAGTGCCCATACAGCCTGCTATGCTGTACAGTATTGTTCTGAGTGACCATACAGTCCACTATGCTGTACAGTATTGTTCTGAGTGACCATACAGCCCACTATGCTGTCCAGTATTGTTGTGAGTGACCATACAGCTCACTATGCTGTCCAGTATTGTTCTGAGTGACCATACAGCCCACTATGCTGTCCAGTATTGTTGTGAGTGACCATACAGCTCACTATGCTGTCCAGTATTGTTCTGAGTGACCATACAGCCCGCTATGCCGCACAGTATTGTTCTGAGTGACCATACAGCCCACTATGCCGCACAGTATTGTTCTGAGTGACCATACAGCCCACTATGCCGCACAGTATTGTTCTGAGTGACCATACAGCCCACTATGCCGCACAGTATTGTTCTGAGTGACCATACAGCTTGCTGTACATACAATATTCATATTTAAAGTGGACAAACGTGTTCATTTTTTTCCCAACGCTGGATCACTGTTTTCACTAATGATTCATTGTCATATCAATTTCATTTGTCCAGATTTGCCTGGGAGATGGAGGGGGGGGTTAATCACAGCTTGGAACCCTTTACAAAATCAAATATATTAAGACGAACATTTGCACACGGTTTCCTTAAGTATTAAATTAACACTGGATGTTATTAAATATATGATTAATGTTTCAACCAAGCAAAAATCAAGAGGTAATAATTTTCAAGTATTAACAGAAATAGCAAATTTACTTTCAATTCAGACAAAAATTTTAATAACAAAATAGCAATTATTATAAAACTATCCTTCAATTTTGTGGTTATCAGGCACATTAATGTATTAGAGTGAGGAGGATGCATACAAAACTTTGGAAAGATAAAACCAAAAACCAACATTGAATGTAACGAAACGGCAATTTCTGGATGAGCCGCAGTGCCTCCATTAAGCTACAATGCCAATACAGTGCCAAACTACTAAGTGTCATAAGTCGTTATGACCAGTGATACGAGTCAAAGTAAGTTTTGTTCAACGAGTGGCATTTGTTCTCATATTATTATGACATTGGCCTTTCCATGCAATCACCATGTAGCAAGAATTTGAAGGGATGGAAAGGGTTGGAGGGATGGTTAGGTTGGAGAGAGGGAAGGGCTGATAGCCGATTTGTAAATACCTACACTTGGCTATTGCCCATGACTAAGATTAGTGTACTAATGTATTTGTTTCACTGTGCTTTGAGTGTGTTGTTCTTTGAATTTTGTGGGCAGAATTGTGGTAATTCTCCATCAAGTTTGAAGTCGGACGCAACACAATTTGGGATGGAAAGGAGAGGGGTCAGTACCATTTGGTCCATTCAAACGGGAGTACGCAAGTACCAGTAGAGTATATCAAATTCGCTCCATTCCTAATAACATATGTTCAGTACAGCACAGCAGGCTCAAGGCTTTAAGCACATTGTATGCTTTTAACAAAAATTCTGAAATGTATGGAACAGTAAGAATTTCTTCTATAAAACCCAGGCTTCAAAACCTAAGAATCAAACTAAATGGCACTGTTGTACACACTGTTGTATACTGTTGTACACACTGTTGTATACAATATACACACTGTTGTATACAATGTATTGTACACACACATTGTTTTATTCATTATTAAATGAGTGGAATATGAATTTCCTGGAGCATCTGATGTTTATTATAATAACATGAAGTAATTATAACAACTGATGTGTATAATAGCCAAGTGGTGTATTATAAACTCTTGAGGCTATGGTCAGCATCTGTAAAACAGCCAATTGGCATATTACAAACTGACCTGTAAACAGCCAATTGGCATATTACAAACTGACCTGTAAACAGCCAATTGGCATATTACAAACTGACCTGTAAAACAGCCAATTGGCATATTACAAACTGACCTGTAAAACAGCCAATTGGCATATTACAAACTGACCTGTAAAACAGCCAATTGGCATATTACAAACTGACCTGTAAAACAGCCAATTGGCATATTACAAACTGACCTGTAAAACAGCCAATTGGCATATTACAAACTGACCTGTAAAACAGCCAATTGGCATATTACAAACTGACCTGTAAAACAGCCAATTGGCATATTACAAACTGACCTGTAAAACAGCCAATTGGCATATTACAAACTGACCTGTAAAACAGCCAATTGGCATATTACAAACTGACCTGTAAAACAGCCAATTGGCATATTATAAACTGTCTGGTTACTGTATGTATAGCACCTGTAAATTAGCCATGTGGTGCATTAGGACCTCTGAGGCTGGAGCCTAGATTGCATAGGCTCAGAACTATTAGAACACATCCTCACTCAACATGAATGACTTACATAGTTCCCTCTACTGAAAACTATGCTTGCTAATGATCTCCCATCATTATCAGCAAACCAGAATGCTGACAAGAGCGAGTACTGTATTATGTTCACAACATGCACAAGTGACTTTATTAATCATGTTTATATCATAACCATGGAGAGGGGGGGGGAATAAAATTAAAAAAAAAACAAAGCAAAATATGAATAGAATACATATGGGATAAATGAATGGATTAACTTCTCACCAGTTCTGAATGGTAGTGCAGAATGGACTGGGAAAAAAAAGGTAGAAGGCTTACACTTGGGGACCAATGTAAATACAGTATATGGATCTGGAATAAGCCAAGCAAGCATTCTCACATGGTAATTTTTGGTTCTGAAATAAGTTCAATAACTGCAGAGAAGGCCTCAAAGAACCCAGAAGATTTTATATAGATTTTTTTTTTTTAACACAAAAATGCAGTAATTTTTAATTCTATAAAATTTGCAAAGAAAGAAACAAATTGCAAAAGTAACATTAAATTTACCATAACTTTTTTTTTTATATAAGAGCCTATACATTTACCTCAGCCTATTTCTAAATCTTGGAAAAAAAAAAGAATAAGCTGTCAACTAAGTCAACACTATAAACAACAGAAATATTGTCTGCATCTTATTTATAAATTAAAAAAAAAAATCCAAATTGAAAATGTTATACTGTATACAGTAACTAGAAAGTGTTCATTTTTCTTACAAGACGTGCGTTATCTTGAGGTTATCTTGAGATGATTTCGGGGCTTTAGTGTCCCCGCGGCCCGGTCCTCGACCAGGCCTCCACCCCCAGGAAGCAGCCCGTGATAGCTGACTAACATCCAGGTACCTATTTTACTGCTAGGTAACAGGGGCATAGGGTGAAAGAAACTCTGCCCATTGTTTCTCGCCGGTGCCTGGGATCGAACCCAGGACCACAGGATCACAAGTCCAGCGTGCTGTCCGCTCAGCCGACCGGCTCCCTCGACTTTTCAAAATAATTCTCAAGCTGCTCTCGCTTATAGCTTTTCCCCCCAATTATAAATCATAATTCATTTAAATTGGTAGTTATTATGGACCTGTTTTTCAGTTACAGTTGACTCAAATATTATATAAAATACTTCCTTACATATCCAACTCAATTGTGCATCCAGCTTCCACTGATT